AAGGTAAAGATCCCGTGGCTCAGCTGGCACCAGCTCTTCAGCAGCTCTTTGATGGTGATGAAACTGATTTGAATGCCAGCGGATGGCATGAATCCGAGGAATACTGTTCAAATCGAAAGTTATATTAAGCTAACCAAAGGAAAATAGGCTATCCATGCTTGCCTCATGATCATCGCCAAATGCACGCAGTTTGAGCAACATCTGCTCCGTCTGTCATGATGCTTTCAACCATCGCTGCTTGATCATTACTCCCCGAACTGCTACATCAACCTCGCCTTGTTGATCTTCCAGCACCTTGCAAAAGTGTTTCATGTATTTACACCCATGGCAGACACACTCATTTAGAAGCAGGTGCAGTCAGGAACGATCCACACTGTGCATCATCTTTTGTTCATTCCCACAAGCCACACATTCCCACGCCCAACAACCCAGCAACACATCACCAAGTCGTAAAATGAGGCGTTTCTCTTTCAAACTGATTGCAAATTGTCTTACCTGATGCAGCTACTAAAGAACGGAGGTTTCCTTTTTTTTTAATCGCAGCTCTTCAATCACACGAGAAAACCAAGACGGCTTTTAAGAAGAGGAAACTGCTGGTTTGGATCTCCTAGAGGATGTTTCTGGAGAGGACAGATCGGTTCCCAGCTCGGGTGTCTGCGGGAGAAAAAATGCTCTGTTCAGACTGAGAGAAGGCAGCAGGCTGCACACCTCTGAGCGCCAAGCCCGTTTAAGCGCTCAATGGGTGGGTGTAGCTGCTAAGAGGGACACGAGGTGGCGGTGTTGCACCCCAAATGGCAGTCTGTAGTCGCCTGTGGAGGTGGCTCTTTCTGCAACCTACTGTGGCATCTGTGAACCAGCAACAAGGGATATGAAATGTAGTCTGCCATGCAAAAAGGACTTTTATTGCAGAATCAACAGGTTGCATGTTGCTTATATGAAGTGATGCAAATCTCAAGCACAACTAACCTTATTAAATTTGTGTTTTACTTTCTATTGTGATCACAAAAGACCTAAGGAGGGAGATGTTTGTGTTACAAATGTCTCTGAGAGTACAGTATTTTATTTTACCATCATTATTTCTTAAACCTTCATTTTCTTCAGTTTGAGAGAAGGCGTTAACTAAAATTCCATTTTTAGACAGAGTTGTGTGTGAGTTGTAGGTAAGGTTCAAATGTTGATACAGGTAACCATGGCTATAATCACAGCCACACAAAAGGTATTTGTGGTGATATTCTTGTCAACAAATCATTGAGTTGATAGCTCACTGTCACTGTTATTATTTCTCCTTAGAGCCGGGCGATCGTGGCTCAAGAGTTGGGAGTTTGCCTTGTAATCGGAAGGTTGCCGGTTCGAGCCCCGGCTCAGACAGTCTCGGTTGTTGTGTCCTTGGGCAAGACACTTCACCCGTTGCCTACTGGTGGTGGTCAGAGGGCCCGGTGGCGCCAGTGTCCGGCAGCCTCGCCTCTGTCAGTGCGCCCCAGGGTGGCTGTGGCTACAATGTAGCTTGCCATCACCAGTGTGTCAATGTGTGTGTGAATGGGTGGATGACTGGATATGTAAAGCGCTTTGGGGTCCTTAGGGACTAGTAAAGCGCTATACAAATACAGGCCATTTACCATCCCTACCTTACTTTCCTTCCTCAATGAAATTGTTGTTGCTTTTTACACCAACACATATATTTATCATTAATGTCTTCCAGGAGGGTTAGAACACGTACAAACATGCTGGTATTGGTGGCTTGTACAAGTTGTCTTGGAACTGGTTGTGAAACCACAGGTGAAGGAGTTGAGGGTGGTGGTAGCTGAACAAATGGATGAGTGACGTTCTGGTGGGGAGTTTCACTTGAATGTCTATTCTCCATTGCTGATGGTGATGAGGTCTCTGGCTGTTCTGCAGCGTTGTCCCAGTCCTCATCCGAGCTTAACTGGATCATCCATCCATCCATCCATTCATTCGCTTCCGCTTATCCTTTTCAGGGTCGCGGGGGGCGCTGGAGCCTATCCCAGCTGTCATAGGGCGAAAGGCGGGGTACACCCTGGACAGGTCGCCAGTCTGTCGCAGGGCTAACACACAAGGACAGACAACCATTCACACTCACATTCGCACCTAGTGACAATTTGGATTAATCAATTAACCTATCCCCACAAGCTGCATGTCTTTCTAGTTAGAGAAATTTAAGAGGCTTATCCCTCAAAACTGTAAATACAAAAAAGTTGCACAAAATAGTTTCCCACCACAGGAAATTTATTTTGAGTGTCTTCATAGTTTTATTTTTGAAATACACCAATTTTTATATACTGCAGGAAAAACGAAAATAAATACTATACTGAAAGTTTGCAAAAAAGCAGCATATGCATCAAAATAAACTATTTCCAGCAGTGCAGTATGAGTCCTAAGCATCCCAGAAACGACACCGAAAGTCATAAAGTCAAAGATAACTTTTAAAAACACCAGTATAAGCTCATGAGGCCCTGATGGTAAAAAAAAAACAAAAACTACATTTCCGCGAAAATGACATCACTTCTTTTATTTTATCTATTTTATTTTCAAAAACAGCAACTTTTGTGGAGCTCACCTTCCACTACTTCATTGCACTGAGGAGAGACTGTAGCATTCGACTGTGGATCCTCTGAGTCTCCTTAATGTCTTCCAGGAGGGTTAGAACACGTACAAACATGCTGGTATTGGTGGCTTGTACAAGTTGTCTTGGAACTGGTTGTGAAACCACAGGTGAAGGAGTTGAGGGTGGTGGTAGCTGAACAAATGGATGAGTGACGTTCTGGTGGGGAGTTTCACTTGAATGTCTATTCTCCATTGCTGATGGTGATGAGGTCTCTGGCTGTTCTGCAGCGTTGTCCCAATCCTCATCCGAGCTTAACTGGATCATCCATCCATTCATTCGCTTCCGCTTATCCTTTTCAGGGTCGTGGGGGGTGCTGGAGCCAATCCCAGCTGTCATAGGGCGAGAGGCGGGGTACACCCTGGACAGGTCGCCAGTCTGTCGCAGGGCTAACACACAAGGACAGACAACCATTCATACTCACATTCACACCTAGTGGCAATTTGGATTATCCAATTAACCTATCCCCACAAGCTGCATGTCTTTGGACAGTGGGAGGAAGCCGGAGTACCCGGAGGGAACCCACGCAGACACGGGGAGAACATGCAAACTCCACACAGAAAGACCCCGGCATGATGGTGGAATTGAACTCAGGACCTTCTTGCTGTGCGGCAACAGTGCTAACCACCGTGCCACCGTGCTGCCCTGGATCACTGGCCTTAAAATGAAAACAAATATTAAAAAACCCCACAAACAATTTAGTTACTGGTTAGTCCTACAAACTAAAAACATTAATGTACAGTCCGGCATCAAAAGGAGTCTAAAACTGATTTTTAAAAGTCAAAAAGTTACAAAGTGCTATTTTAAGATCATATCTAAATCTGGTGAGCAGCAATGGTCTGCTAAAGATACTGTCAGCTTGTTTTTGTTTTTCTTATAATCACCACAATAAATTGTTGCTTTTAAGGCGTTTTTAAGACACATAATTACCTCCTTTTCCGCTTCCCTTTTCCCAATCTGCTTCCAGAATCTGACTCAGTCTGCAGATCAGAGGTTGCTTCAGACCTCCGCAGTTTCACCCTGGGATTTTCATAGTTTTCTGTAAATTTTTGACATACATCAACAAAATGTTGTTAGTGAAATTACAGGGAAATTTTTTGTTCTGTCTTTAATGACAGAATATTTGGTAGCAATAAACAAAAATGCTTCTTACCAGCTTTCCCCAAGATGCGAACTCTGTACTGTGACCAGTTTGCATCTGGAGTAACTCCATCCTTATTGATATTGACTCTCCCTGGTGGCCAGAAACAAGAATCTTCCGCTGGTCCTGTAAACCACTTGCAAGGAATTATGGATGCACCTCCACCATCCAGAAAATCAACAACTGCAAATGGTAGCATGCTGGTGAGAAAGCAAAAAGAAGCCAACTAGTACAGCAGTGGCAATGCCACATATCCAGACTTCAGTGGCAAAAGCACCATTTTCTGTTTTAATTCATCAAGTAATACAAGATTCATTTGTTTAGACAGATTTGAAACAAAGTAAATTCCAAGGCATGTTGAGTCCAATGGATAGCTGAAAAAGGCATTACAGTTTTCAAAGACCTGACACAGTGCTTTGACAACTTGGCAATCCTGTAAAATGTTTGCCACAATAAGAATTGTTCCCCCTACATTGAAACAGTTATCTCCCATGGAGCAAGAAACACATGTCTGTCCATCAGTGTATTTTCTGTACTGCTTAAAAGTTCCAAGATCACTTGTTATTGGTCCAGACTTATGAAGCCGTTTAAGAGGAGCGGGAACAGACATCCTCTCTTTTCTTCTGAATACTTTGCGTCTCATAGACGCGCTTGACAATTTGTTCCACAGGTTTATGAGGCCTCCGCACAATCTTTTTCAGTTTACCCAGGAAGGTTTCAAATGGGAAGCAGGAAATACTGTTGATGGGAGTTACACATGTCACACTGAGCGTTTCACTTCCTAATCGTTCTCGTCTTCGTTCTCTTCTGCCTTCAACAACTTTCATCGTCGCTCAGTCCCGTCCCTCGGGACAGTTGCATACATCATGCCGCCTCTTCAGGTGCAAGCGGCGTCCACAACTAAAGCTCCATGCAAGATCCTACACTGAAAAGTGATCCGCCTCATTCTCAGGAATCAGCTTTTTAAGAAACCAACGTGGCTCAGTTCAAAATTTTGTCTTAAACAAAACTCATCATCTCGTCTGCGATATGAGTTCATCACGGTTTTTTGCTGACATATCATCTGTTCTGGAATGAAATTAATGCCTCTGTAGTAAATAAAATAAAATAATATCTGGCTTCTAGCATCTGTTATTTAAGGAATGTATAAAAATAAGACATCTTCTGCTCAGTCTAAAAACCCAACTATGACAGAAATCTGTTTGTGTGGTACACCTCACCTTTTTAGGGGTCGGCTTTTTGTCTTTCACCTTGACATTGGCAAATGTTCAAAAACCTGCCCTAACAGCTAAAACTCTGCTGCTTTACAATACCTAAAACAATACTAGGATAGATCTGAAAATATAAAGTGTATTATCCCCCAAAGAAAGGTCTAAAAGAATGTTTAAATATGAACTTTATAGTAAACAGGATCTGATGCACCAACTCTTTCTTCAAGAACTCAGCAAACTGGCCACACCGAGTGTGAACCGTGGGTTTACTTCTTGTCATGCTTCCCTTTTAGAGCTGAACCACGTGCACCCCCCTCCAGAATACTGTGTCTCTATGGGATGCACTTGGATGGAGGAGTAAGGTAAATAGCTGCCAAGGAGGACAGTAACAGAACACTGCTGTAATAACACGCAGACACTCATAAATGTGCTGTGCTGTTTTATGTACAGGAAAAACAAAGAGGTCCATCCACGTTCTTTACCAACGCTCCACCTCACACCATCGTCTCTTTTCTCTTCCCTAAAGAACACAGAGCCTTCTTGTCCTTTTTGGTTTTATGTGTCGTGGGTGAGGATGACGTCGATGACACGGACGTCGTGGACGATGGCGGGGAGCGAGGCGAAGGGGACGCAGTGGTGGGGCTGTTGCACAGTGAGGCGGGGGCCGACTGAGAGCCTGGCTGCGGGTAGTTCTCGTCTGCTTCCTCCATGTGGATGATGGCAGAAACGGAGGAAGGGCGGCGCTTGGAACGGACGCTGCCTGTAGGCGGGCTGGGGCTGGAGGGCTCGCTCAGAGGCTGGTGGACGGCAATGGCACTACGGAGGCAGTTGAGCCACTGCTGCTTGTGGAAGACGTCGTTGACCTGCAGAGTGTGTGACTGTGCCTGGCTCGGGTCTTGGGAACGTACCCGGAAAATGTTCTTGGCTGCAGAGAAAGCAGAGAGCGTCATTAGGAACGGGGGCAAAGTGCTGCTCAGGCTACTAGCGGACACTTTCTGGGACGAGCCTTACCTTTGTCTGCATTGCTGAAGGCTCCTCTGAAAAAGCCGCCCATTCTGACATCGCCATCTTGCAGGTCCTCCAGCACCAGATCCTGCACTGCGATTGGCTGCCGGTACACCTGGAAGCACTGGCGCTCGTTCCTGGTGACGGGGCGGGTCAGGATCAGCAGGTCGGTGAACAGGAACACGTGCAGCTTCTGAAAGAATTTCCAGGAAAAACAGAAACTTTCAAACCAGAGCATCATCTGAGCACATAGCCCGCCTCATGTGGGACGGCAGCCTCGTGTTAACATGCAAAGAGAAGCACCGAAGGACGACTTGGAAGTGTGCGCTGTGCTCACCGTGCCGCTCTTGTTGCGCAGCTCCCCGTGACACAGAAGACTCTTGCACCGTTCGATGCGAGCGTCCCTCTGCCTGTCGTCCAGATACTCCAGCTTGTCGATGTAGTACTGGCACTCGGACTCCCCTTTCTTCTTGTTGATGTCAGACAAAACTCCCTGGATGACAGTGATCTGAACACACAAGCAGCCTAATTATTACATGGGAGAGGCACTATGATGGATCAGTGTGTTGAACCAGTTTGTCTCCTGGACTTACAGCTTCCTGCAGGCTGGCAGCATCGGGGTGTTCTGCTGGAGTGTGTCTCAGGATTTCCTTGAGCAGTAGGGGGTACTTGACCAGGCGGGATCTGGGAATGTCCAGGAAGCTCCACAGGTCCAGTTTCCGACTAAAAGGTGACTCGAGGCACCGCTGCAGGAAGTCCTGCACACGTGGGTCTTGCTTCTTCTGGTCCAGCAGCGCCTTGGCTGCCAGCTGGTTACTGCAGTAGTCTTTGTAGGCATTGAGCCTGGGCAGCTGCAAAGGAAGGAGGGACTCTTTATCTAACTGCTAATTCAAAATACGGTTTTACTAGCGTAAAAGCTTTTGATGGCTCAAAAAGTCAAAGACACTTACCCAGCTAATAACAATTTGCCCAATCTGGCCCACGGTCCTGTCTGGCCCCGTGGCTTTGGAGAGCTGCGCCAGAAGGTCCTCGTGCAGTGGGATGTAGGCATCCAAGTTGCCGAAAATGTGAGTAAGCTCCTCCTCTGACATGATGGACAGCTTCAGCATCGGGTCGTGGTACGCCTGTGGATGGAGCAAAGTGATCAGTAATATCTGGGCAGAGCTTTGGGAGCGGCTACTAAAAATATCTTGGTCAACAGTTTTAGGGGTACAAAAAAAAAAAGACAGAGGAACAATCCCTGTCTTTTTATAGCTCCTGGCTGTGCTGCATTCAAAGCCTGCCAGACTGATTTAATCTGTTTGCTTTATATGTACTCCCGCTGCCTCAGAGCTTTTAAAATGACAAACCTTGCATGCAAGCTGCAGGTCCTCAATCAGATGCTGTTCTCCACGAAACAGCTCAAATATGGCCTGAGGAATGGGAGAAGGCACAGACAGATGTTTTTTTAGTAAACATGTAAATCAGGTTGTCATTACATCGTAGCCTAAACCATAGTGAGCTTAGCCAAGATGGCTGAATGGCTTCTAGTCCAATTTAAACCATTTGACACAAAGACATGTGAACTAGTCTAGCAAGCATGTAGAATTCATCCCTGCCTGGACTCCTGGACTCACCTCTTGCCGCTTGATCTCTTTGGTGGAGAAAGTTCCTTTCTGGTGGATGTCTAATGTCTCGGACCATAAGGTGCTGTTCCTCCTTTTAGGTGGTGTGGGGGCCGCTGCCTTGCTGCAAGGCTTCTGGGGCATGCCTGGCAACTTGCCATCGCCCCAGAAAGAGGCCTTCAGAAAGAAAGAACACCACATGTCAGACATGTTGAAAGGGATGTCCCTGTCCCCCCAATGCGCTGTGTTTCCATTGGATGCTGTGAGCGCTTACCTTGATGGTTTGGGCGAAGCGCCGGAAGACCCCATTCTTTACCGGAGAAATGAGGTTGGCTAGCGACGTCACCCTGCCGAGAGAACGGACGTGCTTGTTGCTGGGTTCCTGCAGAAGGAGGCAAAAACAGAAGGGGAGGTTAGTCGTGCAGTTATTCTATCATAACACTATGACTTCATTTCCAGCAGCTCTGGTCAAACATTTACAGAGTAAAGTTTCAGCCATCTCACCTCTAACTCCTTGTTGGCCTGGTTCTGGCAGTCTGTCACTTGCAGAGTCCGTTTGATAGGCACCAAGCTACCCACTTCATCGTAAGCCACCATATCTTTCAGTAGAAACACAGTATCCTTTTAATAATGCATTTTCCTTGTTAGTCAGCCACTTATCCAGACTACTGGAAACATTTGGTCTTGTCCTCTTTCCATTGGTTTTAACATTCCCCCAGTCTGTCCCACAGAACTCTCTCCAGTATGACCTTTTACGTGCTGCATAGTTTTCCTAACCACTGTTTAGGATTTCTTGTACTGCTGTACCTGCTGTAAATGAAGGGTTCCTTCAACTCATTTAAAACATTTATCTCTACTTTGTTTACTGCTTGTTTGCAGCTTTCATTACTCAGAACTGGATAATGGTCACTTCCTTTCTGATGTGTCCACAGCACACAGAGCCTCCTTCATTCATACCCTCTAATTCTTGATCGCCACTCGTCACACATTCACATTGTGAAAGATTTCATACAGTGGCATTGGCTGTTTACATTGTAAGCCACAGACAAATATTTAAATAAATAAATAAATAAATATTTGTTTCTATCTTGTAATACACACTCAAAACACTGCTTTGCTGCTGCAGACCTTTCTGTGTCTATGATTGCTCTTGGTGCTAATTAGCTCTCCCTTGTACGTGAACTTGGTCATGGTTTCACTGGGAAACACTTGGTTGGCTAATGGAGCCGATAACCAGCTTCATGTGGTTAGGATTAGGCGGGAGATAAGATGAATGAATCCAGGTATTGTAAAGATAACCTGGATTTGCTGAACTTGGTTCATTGTACAAGTGTCCCAGGTGTTCCTCAGGAACAGGAGGGTGATGAGACAACTGAAAAACACTGAGGGTAAAAGACACATTACACACCCCAGGGGGAGAGATACTAAAACATAGCAGCAGAACGCATACTGCAACACAAAATGTTATTGTGTGTGGTGACTTGAATTCCCAGATTAGTCTTAGAGGAGGGAACTGCTGAACAGTGGCGGATTTGTAGATTAAAGTGCATGGAGGGAGGGAAGCAGAAAGACTTGGGCGAGTAATATTTGCAGGTATATGTTTACAGGAGGTTGTGAATTATGCAATGATTAAAGTTACAGCAGTAGAAGCAGAGTGGAATGTAAGGCTTTTAAGGAATTATTAACTTATAATTTATAGTCTCCCATAGAAGCTAAAAATAAGCAAACCGTGGTTTGAAAGACTATTTAAGAAGTTCTTCATTTTTAAACATTTATGATTTCTGTAATAATGTTGGTGTCACGGTCCAGGACTGGTCAGGCTTTTTCTCTCCTATCTCTTCTGCTCTCAAGTGGAGTTGGGCAGTTCATACCTTTGACTCCGTCCACTGACAGGTTCCCGCTCTACAACATGCCTCTTCATCACCAGTTTATTGCCCTCCTGTATGCAAGCACCAGCTCGAGCTCTCACTCATTGTCAGATCGTTTTTGTAATGCATGTGTTATTGAGGTTCTCTGATGCTTATTGATAACCCCAGTCAATCTCTCTCAGCTTCTCAGCAACTCTCCAACTGAGCTCACAACCAAACCCCAGCTGATCTGTTCCCATGGAAAGCAGAATTGTGTTTTCACTTATCGAAAATTCACCTGCCTTTCATACATCTTGGGAAAACTCTCGCCTGTCACCCACTGCCCCATGAAATCTGGTACAGAAAGAAACTCAATCAGAGTTAAGATCATAACACACATTTCTTCACTGCAACAATGACATCCACCAAAATGTGCTTCTCCTCTTTGGCAGAAGAAGATTCCTGCTCAGTGAGCTGATTCTTCCCACTGCAGATACCTCTTCATTAACCAGTTTTTCTACACAATAAACCTTTAAGGCAGTGCAGGCTGTGTTCTCGACCCTCCTTTAGAGTCCACCAAAAAAGACTGACCTGATTGATTGATTGATTGATTGATTGATTGGTAATTTATTTCAACATGTGAACAATATACAAGTACATTTAGAAAAGAAATGAGAGAAAAAAATATACTATACAAATTACATACAAAAAAACATTCTGATTAATTTACATGTTGAAAGGGAGTGGGAAGAAGTATACACTTATTTAATCCCACCCCTGTCCCATAAATTATCAGTGAATATTTAGTCAGCTTCCTTACTGATATAATTTGTAATAAAAATAGTGAACAGATTTCTGATATACTATATACTATAATATCACATCATGAATTTTTTGTTTGTTTGTTTTTAAATAGAGACATTCACTTAATTTAAATATTTTCCTTTTCTTTATAGATCGAGAAGATCATATTTTTATAACTCTTTTTGAACAGTTTTATGTTTGGACATTGCTTTAATTCCATATTCAGTTTGTTCCATAGTTTCACTCCTTGAACAGAAACACAAAAGCCTTTTCTTGTAGTACGTACCTTCATTGTTTTGAAGTTACAAAAACCCCTTAAATTATAACTTCCTTCTTTCAAAAAAAACATACTCTGAATATTACCTGGCAGTTCTTTATTTTTTGCTTTGAATAGAATTTGTGCTGTTTGGAATTTCACTGTATCGTCAATTTTCAATATTTCAGACTGCAAAAATAGTGAGTTTGTATGTTCCCTATAACCTGCATTGTGGATGATTCGAATTGCTTTTTTTTTGAAGAGTAAAAAGTGAATGTAATGTGGTTTTATAGTTATTGCCCCAGGCCTCTGCACAATAGCTTAAGTATGGTGAAACCAGTGAACAGTAGAGAATATGAAGTGATGTTCTGTCGAATACCTGTTTTGCCTTGTTTAGTACTGCAATGCTTCGTGATACTTTGGAATGAATATATCTTACGTGAGCTCTCCAGTTAAGTTTTTCATCTATTATTACCCCCAGAAATTTATTTTCACTGACTCTTTCAATATCAACACCATTTATTTGAATCTTTGCATTTGTATTTAAACTACTATTTCCAAATAACATAAGTTTAGATTTATTCAAATTTAATGATAATTTGTTTTTATCAAGCCAGAACTTCACTTTACTTATTTCATTAGTCATATCCTCCAATAAATTCTGCAGATCATCACCAGAGCAAAAAATGTTTGTATCGTCAGCAAAGAGAACCATTTTTAATACTTTGGACACTTTACAGATGTCGTTAATGTACAAGTTGAAGAATTTTGGACCCAAAACTGACCCTTGGGGTACACCACAAGCAATGTCCATACATAAGGAGCAACCACCATTTATTTTCACAAACTGCTTTCTGTCACTTAAATAACTCCGGACCCAATCTAAAACTACCCCTCTGACACCATAACGTTCCAGTTTTCTTATTAATATATCATGATCTATAGAGTCAAATGCCTTTGTCAAGTCTATGAATAACCCAGCCACATATTGCTTTTTGTCTATGGAATTTGTGATGTATTCTATTGAATCTAATAGTGCCGATGATGTTGATCTGCTTGATCTGAATCCGTACTGACTCTCAGTGAGTAGTTTATGTTTATCTATAAATTTTTCCAGTCTGTTTTTAAACAGTTTTTCAAGAACTTTTGAGAATTGAGGTAGTAAAGAGACAGGCCTGTAGTTTGTGAAATGGTGTTTGTTTCCAGATTTGTATAGAGGTATAACTTTTGCTATTTTCATTCTGTCTGGAAATCGACCAGTTTGAAATGATAAATTACAGATGTATGTAAATGGTTTTATAATAGCCTCAATGACTCTTTTAACCACTATCATATCAATATCATTACAATCCAAAGATTTGTGATTTTTACATTTTTTGACAATTTCAAGAACTTCATTTTCATCAACGGCTGTGAGAAACATAGAATATGGATTTCTGTCAATCAGCGTATCGGGTTTTTCCTGTGCTTTCCCAGGATGAGTGATTGTTCTTGCTAAATTTGGTCCAGCAGTTACAAAGAATTCATTGAGACTATTTGCCACAACATCCATATTGTATTCTTCATGGTCATTACAAATGAAATACTTGGGATAGTTCTTTTGTCCAGTCCCACATTTTATAACACTGTTCAGGATTTCCCATAATCTTTTATTATTATTTCTATTTATATCTAATTGCTTCTTATAGTATTCCTTTTTACTAAATCTAAGTATATTAGTTAACCTATTTTTATATCTTTTGTATCTGATTTCAGCATCTTTAGTTCTCGTTCTTAAGAACTCTCTGTATAGAGCATTTTTCTTTATACATGCATTTTGCAGACCTTTTGTTATCCATGGACAGTCCATATATTTCTGTTTCCTACTATATTGCTTTATTGGACAGTTGGTATTGTACAGTAATGTAAATATTCTAAGGAATTTATTATAAGCACTATTAACGTCCTGTTCCTGATATACTTCACCCCAGTTTTCCTTCAATAAATCTTTTTTAAATGCATTCATTCTTTCTTCTGTTCTTACTCGTCTGTACTCTTTTTTACTGTCCATTTTATTGATCTTGTAATTCCTATCATAGATTGTAAAAATTGGAAGATGGTCACTTATGTCGTTAATCAGGAGTCCACTTACAGTCTTATTTTCAATGTCATTTGCAAAAATGTTGTCTATGAGAGTTGCACAATGTGATGTAATCCTGGTAGGTCTAGTAATTTTAGGGAATAGATTCATACAGTGCATTGTGTTTATAAATTCCTCAGTGGTTTTATGTTTATTTGGGTTTAGCAAATCAATATTGAAGTCTCCACAAATGAAAACTTTTTTGCGAGCTATTTCAATAAATGTTTCTTCTATCCAGTCTTTAAATGTCTCAATACTACTACCTGGAGCTCTGTATATACAGCTAATGATTACATTTTTACTTTTTTCTTTACAAATTTCAACTGTAATACATTCTAGTACATTATCAATCACCATCGTCATCTTTTCCACCACATTAAATTTCAAGGATTTGTCCACATACAAGGCCACTCCTCCTCCTCCTTTGTTTCGCCTAGTTATAAATGTGAATTCATAACCCTCCAGTTCAAAGTCTGTTCCTTTTTCCATATTGATCCAAGTTTCTGATATTATGGTAAATTGATAATGACATACTGCTTATGAGCAGCATACAGTGACTTTTTTACATTCAAAGATTTTAAAAAGAGTGGATATGTT